TTTTCCGTGGATACGGTGAGTTATTGTAGTTGTGCATGATATAATGAGTGCGTGTAACAAAGTGCTTTCTTGCTGGTCGACCAAGGACATTGTCATGCTGTTTCAGCGTAGGTCAACAACTTGAATATGGCGTACACTGCTAGCGATACATATGCTGTGCTTGTCGTCTCGTTATGGCTGGTTTGTGTGGGATTGGCCTAACTGAAACTAACGATAGAAGAAGTTGACGCTCAGATAATCGTCTGGCCAATGTCTCTTTATAACTGTCTGTAACTGTAGAGGTGAAGGGTGGACGCAGTCATTAACTTGCGTACGGCCAACCCTTAGTATAGTCTTAACCTCAAGGACAGCTGTAGTTATCTAGAGGGGTCATACAGTTCAAAGGAAAGGAAATAGTTTCTTTTGTACCCCCAATTCTAATCCTAACACTACCCCTACCTTCCAGCGCTTCCCAATTTAATTGTATATGCCCCTCCGAAGAACACGTATGGTTATCTAGAGGGAGCATATACAATTGACTGGAGGTGTTGGGGTGAGGGCTAGAGTTGGGATTAGCGATGGGGGTACAAAAGGAACTTTTTCCAAATTGAGTTGGTGGCTGGGGTGAGCGGTTAAGAGCGGGATTACACAAGAAATTCGTTCCACGGTTGCTGTATTGCTATAGCAAAGCACTACGCAGTCAGTATTACTGTAGCATAGCACTGTGTAGTCCGTATTACTGTAGCAAAGCACTACGTAGTCCGTATTACTATAGCATAGCACTACGTAGCCCGTGTTACTGTAGCCATGGAGGTAGAAAAGCACTGCGTAGTCCGTATTAATGTAGCAAAGCCCTACGTAGTCCACAATTACTGAAGGAAAGCACTGCCTAGTCTGTATTACTGTAGCAAAGCGGTCCATTTTCCCACTTATTTTACCACTTCAGAACACCCTCTGTTGTGAATCTGTTGATTCCGAAATTAGAATTCTAGAGATAATGTCAGATTAGATGGCCCATACCTATGCCGAAAACATGCACAGGGCTAGTTGGTATTTGAACTGAACAAAAGTTAACCGTTTCCCTGTAAGTACAATACACTTGTTGCACGGTCAAATTAAAATGACCATGCAAAATGTTGTAGATGTGTGATGACTAAGTGTTAAATGTTTCCATATATTTTACTGATCAAATCACTTTTTCAAATTTACTTTGAGCTTCATTTCTTCCCATTATTGTCGTTTACATTTTAATCAATGCAAAACTGGATCAAAACTACTCTTGTGGTACAAAATGAGTGAACATGCAAACAGATAAAATGGAAATTGCGAAGCTACTCATATATGTATCTCGTATATATTCATTCGGTACAGACTCAAATTTGCGTTGTCACAATGACATGAAAGGTGTCAGACATCAGGTTTGACAACATTCAAAAGACAAAAATAACCGACTTTGTGTCATTGACAAATTGATTATATTCTTGCAGACGGCGGCATTATGTAAAACAAATAGTTATGCTGTTAATGTAAAAGGGGAAATACAGTGCCAAAAGTGCAGAAAATGTCCGCCAGGATCGTACGTATCCAGAGTATGCGGAGATTATGATGATACCGAGTGTGCGCAGTGCGACGATGGTTCATACAGTACGGGATGGAGTAGGTTGGGAGAGTGTAAACCATGCACACTGTGTCCAGCACACCTTGCTACAACCAGGAATTGCACGA